CTTTTTCCATCCTTTTTACTATAAACCTAATTGATCATTATATTTGAAGTGCACTTCTTGTAGACAGCATATAGTCGAGTTATGTTTTTAAAATCTACTCTGTCTTTTAATTGGTGTAATTAAACCACTTATATTCAACAAAATGATCGATATCTTAAGGGTAAGTCTGTTTTTGTTGTTGTTACCTGTTTGTTTTCTGTTTTTAGCTTTTTTTTCTGTTTTCTTTGTCCTGCTCTCCTGTGGGTGACAGTTTTTCAAATTCCATTTGGTTTATCTATAATGTTTTTGAGTGCATATCTCTGTATAGCTTCTTTAGTGTTTTATCTCAGTATTACATTATATATACATAATTTATCACCGTCTTCTGATGTCATCATTTCACCAGTTCAAGTGAAATACAGAAACTTTACCTCTCTTTTACATCCCTTTAGTCCCATTTATAACAGAAATAATCTAAATATTTCCTGTACATACACTGAGACTATGAGACTATGATAAATTTTAATACAATCATCAAACATAATTCAGACAACTAAATAGGAAAAGAAATTCTGTTGTGTTTGCCCATGTTTTTGCTTACTGTGTTCTTTCTTCCAAGGTTCCTTTTCTTATCATTTCTTTTCTGTTTTAAGAACTTACTTTAGTTATTCTTTTAGGGTAGACCTCTTACTGATAAATTCCCTATTTCCTTTCATCTATGAATGTCTTGATTATCTCTCTATTACTGAAAGATATCACTGAACATAAGAATTCTGGGCTGATGATTCTTTTTCTTTAGCACTCGAAAAATGTTGTGCCACTTCTTCTTAGGGCCCTGTCAGTTTCTGATAAGAAATCTCATGTCATTCTATTTTTTTTTTCCCCTCTGAAGGTATAGGTAAGGTGTTGTTTCTCTTTGGCTGCTTTGAAGATCTTTTCTTTGCCTTTTGTTTTCAGAAAGTTGACTATGATGTGTCTTGGTGAATTTCTTTGGGCTTATCTTGATGGTGTTTGTTTAGCTTCTTAAATCTGGAGGCTTGTGTTATTTGCTCAATTTGGGAAGTTTTTAGCCACTATTCCTTTAAGTACTTTTCCTGTTCTACCCTCTTTCATCTCTCTATCTGAGATTCTATTGGCATGAATATAACTATTAACATGAATGTAAATACACCCAAAGGTCTGGAGGCTCTGTTCAATGCTCCCTCTCTCTTGAATCTAATGTCTCTGTTATTCAGATTGGGTGACTTCTATTGTTTTATGTTTAAGTTCTCTGATTCTTTCCTCTGTCTCCTATATATTGCTGTTGAGTGAAATTTTAGTTTTTAGAGGTTTGTGGGTTTTTTTTTTTGTTTTTTGGGATTTTTTGGCTATTGTTTTTAAGTTCTCAAGTTTCCATATGGTTCTTCTTTATGTTTTTCATTTATATGTTGAAATTTTCTATTTTATAATTTGTTTCAAGTGTGTTACAATTGCTTATCAAAGCATTTCAAGGATGACTGCTTTAAAATCATTGTCAGATAATTCTAACATTTGTGTTATTTCAATGCTGGCATCTGTTTACTTTTGTCATTTAAGTTGATAATCTTGGTATGGCAAGTGATCTTTTTGGATTAAATTTCAACACTAGATATATTTTAAATCTTTCATTTGTGTAGGCTTCCTCTTACATTCTCCTTTTGCAGGGAAGGGAGGCAATAGAAGTCTAGGGTCTCTGGTTAACATCCACATCGGGGAGGGTTTTCTTGTAATTGCTGGTTATGGGTGGGAATTCAGCCCTCTCTCTAGGCCTCTGATGATCCTATCCCAGCTAGTAGTGGTAGGAATGCCTGGTTTACCACTGGTGAGGGTAAAATTCATAGCCCTTATTTGGTCGCCAGTGGGATAGATCACTTCTCCTTGCTCCCAAATGTTCCTTCTCTTAGTATTGGGCAGGGGCTCCTTTAAATCCAGTAAGAGTCAAAGTTTAGGCTCTCTGATTGCACACTTAAGCTTCTTATTAGCTGCATTGTCATTATGACAGTTGGCCTTTTCCTGTATCAAGGTATCTCGCTCCCTATTTCCTGATATTTTTCCAGAAAAAAAAAATTGAAACATGCCCCATCTCTCGACCTTTTCTCAGACCTTCCATAGGATAGAGTGGGAAGACCAGAGCCTATCCACAGATTGACTGGGTTCTTGTCAAAATCTGACATTTTCAAGCTGTTTGGCTCTGGAAAAATTACTTAAATTTTCTGAGCCTCTATTTTCCAAGTTGTAAAGGAGGTGTTGAAAGCTCTGAAGACTCTTGCTGAAATGAGGGATAGTCAATCAAAGAGCTTGGAACACCAGCTCTTTGTTCCCTTCCTTTTACTCCCTTGTAAAAGTTAAGATGCAAACCCTCCAAAGGACAAAAATGTCAAGGTGCTTCCCCACCACCACCATAATGTGTTGTCTCATCCTAGGCATTCGCTTCAAGTGTTAATTTAAATCTCTTGGTCAAAGTCTTATGTCTTAAATTGCCACACTTGATATCCTCCCCCTCTTTTTCTCCAGGTTCCTGAAAAACACTAAAGGAAGACAGCTGGAACCATGCCACACTCAGAATGAGGGTGGAAGCTGGGGCAAGGGGAGAGGGGCTGCTTTGACAGAGAAGACAGGTGAAGGAAGGCCTGGTGCAGGACCTGGCAGCCCACTTGTGTTCTGAGCAAGGACAACATCATCACCTGGCCAAAGCCGCTTCCAGAGTAAAGAAGGGGTCAGGGGTTCAGGCAACTCCCACTTTGCCTGCTTTGCCTGCCCTTCACCTCTGCTGCCTCAGAGCAACTGCTGCGATCCCACTATGTGATGCAGCGACCTCCTCCCCAGTCTCCATCGCTCCCATTCTTCTTCCCAAGCACGGAATAGGGGAGGAAGCAAGTAGCTAATGAGCGAAAGCAAAAAATATACACACGCGAGCGTTTGCCGTCCTCCCAACAGGGGCCTGCTGAGATTCCTCCGCATCCCCTGGCAGCCGCCACCAGACCCAACGCGCTAGACTCTGCTCTCAAAAGGCTCACCGGAGCTCCCGATCCTGAAGTTAAATGGGAGACTGCAAAAAAATCTCAACTCCTAAACAGCAAGGAGGTAAATATACCTTGAAGCCAACAAATACTGGAATAATAATTAATAATAATAATAATAATAATAATAATAACAAGTTCAATAATGCCGATCCCCAACTCCCATCTCAAGAAGAATAAAGCTGTCTTGGGATCAACACACACGCACGCGCGCGCGGTTTGTCTCCATATGGCTTTCTCAGCCACATCTAGCGAGGTCTCTCTCCATCAGTCTCTGTTTCTATGTGTCTCTACTAGTCTGTTTCGACTCTCCCCAGCCTCCTTCCCATCCCTGAAATCCGTGGTGTATGGGTTCCTTTCCCCAACTCCCCAAGTAGCCCAACAATAGATACTTTCCAAGGTAACTCAGCCCTCTCCTTCAGCGAGGGATTTTGCGGGGGGTTCGAGGGGGGCTTGGGGCGCTGTAACATTACACTTACCTGATCTCTTTAATGCTTTCCAATTTGCACATTATTTCTTGCTCTTCTGCCATGCTTTTCACTCAAATTTCACGTCCTGAGAAAGGTACAAACACACAAGTCGAGGGATACAATAGACACAATGTAACCACCTCCTCTGGGCATGGGGCTCTGAGTCTGTGCGGTAGGGACTCGGAGAAGGCCTGGGAGCTGTAGTCCACAGCTCCAGGGCCAGCCAGGCAGTCTGGGGGCCTGCAGGACTACAAGTCCCAGAAGACGAAGCGAGAAATGCCTGTTTCTCTTCCGGCAGCCGCACTTTAAATCAATTTGTCACCTAATTAAGTCAAAGGTTAGGAGGAGTGCAAGGGAATGGTGATACTCGTGTGTCTTGTGCGCAGAAAAAATAGGGCGAAAATACCCCAGGAGGCAACTGGAGGGATAAGAGACAACATACACCTCTCCCGGGAACCTCACGCCTACTCACCCCCAAAAGGTTACCGGGAGTTGCTAATTAGTGGATACTTTGCAACTGGCAGAAACCCTGAAGGGGAATTCGTTTTGAGATGTTGAGTGTTCAGGCTGCTGCCTGGGAACTAGTGGTTTTGGCATTCAGATGGAGATGGGGTGTGGTGGAGTAGAGGTGGGAGAGAGGTGGGGAGCAGCTGCTAAAGAGAGGGGGTTGGAGGGGTGACTTCGTTCCTTCAGACCCATTGTTGTGGCGCGAATGATTCTGAGACCCATGGAGACAAGTGAGATTAATTATGAGCCTTTATTAGCCAGCTGGCGACTGACTCTCTACCATGCAGGGTTAGAGGAGATCAGCCCCGAGCTTCCCGAGCAGGCTGCTTATAAGGTTTTTTTACATCTTTGAATGAACAGATTACAAGAAGCAGAAGTTAGTTGTTAACTCTTTGTACACAGATAAATGTATTCAGGGGAACTCCCAGCAAACAGGGCCTAATAGGCAGTTTTATCATCTTTTCTTTGGAATGTTGCGCTTCTCCCTGGGGCCGGTGCCCGGGGATATCACCTCCCTGTAACTGAGTTACTGCTCTCCCTAGGGGATGGTGCCTGGAGATACCTCTTCCCTGAAACTGGAGAATTTCCACTTTTACACCATCATCCATTCTAGTTACTGAACTCTGCCAGTTAGTGAAGGAAGTACTACGGGAGGCACTGGAGAAGGCGAAGATAAATAAAAACAAGTCCTTGCCTTTGAGGAGCAGGAGAGACTGAAAGGTAACATTAATTACAGTGCAGTGTGCTGCCATAATAAAGGAATAGATAAGGTGTAACCTGAGCAGAGAAGATGTAAATGGGTTTCAAAAAGTGACTGAGAATTTGCCAGACTATTGGGGAGGATGGACTTCCCAGGAGAGGGCATAACACAGGTAAGGAAAAGACAGGTAAGTCAAGGCATCTGGAGCATAAGGTTCATATGTGGGATGGGAAAGAGAAGTGAGAGATGTATCTAGAAAAAATATGTTGGAACTATATTGTGGAAGACCTTGAATGTCGCACTAAAGAGTGGACTTAATTGTACAGGCACATATGCCAAGTTATTTTTCCAAGCACAGGAGTGATAAGGTTGGGGGGATGTCTTAGGGAGGTGACTCTAGAGGCAAAGTAGAGAATGACTTAGAGGAGATGAGAGCATGTAAAAGGTAGTTACTCAGAGAGCACAGAGAAGCCCAGAGAGCTGGGCTTTGGAAAAATGGAGGACTCTGACTCATTCCCAACTAAAGGTGAGTGGGAGCTCTCTCTGATTAAGTTTGCCCATTTTGTTTTGTTTTGTTTTGTTTTGTTTTTTTCATCAGTTTTCGATGCTGTATATTGTCGAAGGCTTTTTCTGCATCTATTGCTATGATCATATCACTCTTATTTTTTAATTTCTTTATGTAAGATATATCATATTAACCAATTTAGGTATATTGTAGCATCCCTGTGCCTTTGGGATGAAGCCCACTTGATCGTGGTGAATAATCTTTTCACTATGTTGCTG